ATCTGACAATGACCATAAAATGTGTTGTCACATCATGGAAACTGAAACTGGAGCTTTAAATAATGTCTGAAAAGTAAGTTTACTATGAGGTGTTTTATTTTGGAAATAGTACTTTTCAAAAGTGTAGTTAGATTGAAAAACAAAAACAGGAGTAAAGATATATTCAGAACATCATCTTTTAATCTAATTGGGTTTTGTTCTGTTTTGTTCCTCTTATTTTGTGTAACTAATTGTCGTGCTTGGAAACTTAAATCCATTTTGGCATTTCAAGTGTGGTACTGGACAATATGTCACTGCTCAAAGAAGAATAAATACACAACCGGAACAAAATACTATTCAGGTTTAATGTGATGTGCCACATGTCAACATTAATCACTGTGGTGTACACTGACGTGGTTGTGAGTCTGTGATGAWGACACAGRGWKTGTGGTTCCATGGTGTAATGGTTAGCACTCTGGACTCTGAATCCAGCGATCCGAGTTCAAATCTCGGTGGAACCTGATTATTTCTTCTCTTTATAGATAATATCTGATGTGCAGATCATGTATCTTGAGCCATGTTACTCGACTTTGCTCAGGTCATTAAGAGATGTCAGGTGTGCTGAGATTATAATTCGAACAGCATGAGATTATGTTGACTTTGACTCAACAATTTATGKTGAGAATCCTCTTCCATCTGTACTTTTTTACATACATACATAATACAATTATACCCCCTTTTTTATTTGTATGTATTCTTTCCTTCCCCTCTATGATCCAGTAACACACAGGCTTTCATACACACACATACACAGTTATGAATCTGTATGGTCATCAGTTTTTAACCATGTGAAAAGAAAACATCAGGTTCCACCGAGATTTGAACTCGGATCGCTGGATTCAGAGTCCAGAGTGCTAACCATTACACCATGGAACCGCACGAGCACGGTTATTATCGTGAACAAGCGCGTGCATGTAGCGTGACCGCGGCTGCTTCAGTCACCACACAAACAGCTCTGAGCTGCGTTCAAAGGCAGCTGCTGCGGTGGGGAATATCAAATGCGTTGTGTGTTTTGTGTACATCTAATGGTTCCCCACACACGTGTCAAGACCCGTGGTGACCGAGCCTTCTCCTCCACGGCCCCCAGGCTCTGGGATGAACTTCCTCTCCATCTGCGCACGCTTGAAAGCATCGATTCATTCTTCATTCCTCTTTAAACAAGCTTTTAACTAACTAATTTCAGCATTTTTCTGCAGCCTGACCTTTTAGTGTCTGTTTCACCAAACCCTACCTACTGACCCTACAATACATCATATTAATATATGATAAACAGACAGTATTTTCATCCAAAATCATTTCAATTTATCAAAAATGCATTTTTCTAAAATGTACCTGCACTCCACAATCTACCCATTTGGACACCTGCCTCCAAATTGATTTGATTTAAAAATCCTTCATCTTAATGTTAATGGTACTATGCCCTCCCCATTTTTGTCTAGATATTATTTGTTTTATTTTTAGGATTGCACAGTCTTGATACTTTGATGGTTGTACAGCTTTTATACTTTTTTGTTCCAAATTTTTGTATATCCTGTTCTGATTGTATATATTTTGATTTTCCTCTGATTGTACAACACCTTGTGAATCTATTTCTATGAAAGGTGCTATATAAATAAAACTTTACTTTACTTACTATTTTCTGCCTGTCCGTTTTCATAATGAGGATGAAACAGGACACAATTACCATTGGCTTTTACATCTGGCTATTTTTACACATGGACTTAAAACCAAAGTATTCAAAGTTAAATGTTCATAAAAATTATATGTCAAACAAGGGACAAAAGTCACTGCATTAATTAATTATAAATATAATTAGACAAATATAATCAGATGAGACTGTTTATGAGGAAATATTGTGCAATTTTAGCTACAGGGGTGTGAGTTTAAGTAATAAAAATCCTTTGAAACAGAAAGAACAGTTGAGGAACATTTTTTTGGAGTGGTACGAAACGAGTTTAGTTTCCAGTGAAGTTGTGTCACTAAAACTTGACACGTTTATTTCATAAAGATAAATGACTCTGATGTCTGTATCACCATGCAGACACGTTTTATTGGAAATTCACAGCAGAAGCATGAGGGAGTCAGAGAGCAGGCTGTTTATGAAACGAGCTGAAACCTCAGGACAGAGTGTAAAACCATGTCCACTTTTTATCTGCCTCCATTCTCCTCAGCATCTTTTCCAGTTTGTGCTGAGTCAGATTATCTCACAGTTGTTGGGTTTTTTTTAGCCATTATAGTAACAACCCCCCTCATTCAGTTACTGACAGTGTTCAAATCTTTTACCTCAGTAGTTACAAAACGTGTTCCAACTTCAAAACAGTTCAACCCGGGGTGGAGAGGTAGACACAAAAATATGAGATCATTTTAAGATTAGCCATGCAACGGACAATAAAAGGACTAAGCATGAGTAAACTTGATTTTTAACAAATTATAATCCCAGGTATGAGAACACTGCTAAATCTTGTCCAGCAGATGAGCGTCTAAAACAAGCTGTAGCTCCAAACGTCTGCTCCACATGACGTCCAGATTAAATAATTACGCTCCCAGAGGAGAGGTTGTTTTATAAACCAACGATTGGTGGGTAATTTACCATTCATGGCTCATAACTCACTTCATAACCTGGTTTATGTCTGTTCAGTTTTCCACAAGTTAAATGTAAAGTTGTTGGCATCAATGTTTTTCTCCCTTCTAAATCAAAAGGCACTCAAATCTTACATATTTAATTACACTGAAAGTGCTTCAATCTCCAGATTAGTCATTTTATCAACCAGGTTCTGCATCATCAACCCACTGTAATCTGCGAAGAAAGATTTTACTATTTAACCTCAATAGAGCTTTTATATACTGTATATATATAAATCATAAACTGTGGCAACGAGCTGGAAAATAAAGCAAAACTCAAGCTTTTTATAACTTTTACCGTCTTAACAGAAAAAGACCAGTTTGACTCGTCACAAATACAGAGCAGGAGAGAGTCGGCTGAAACGAGCTCATCCAGCTGTGGTGGTGCAGAGAAAACTAATCAAAACTCTTTTTTAAAACCTCTTCAGTCTGTTTCTGATGGAGAGTTGTAGACTGCAGATRAGATTATAAAACTACAGGCTCTCATCTTGAGTGTGGTTTCACAGCAGGAGTTTTAGATGTGGGAGGAGATGAATAGACTCGTTACGGTTTGTATTTACTGAACGTCCTCCTCCTCCTCKTCACGGTTTCTTCTTTAACACACATCTTTCAGTTGTGTTGTGCTTTATTTCGTTTTTACAATTAAAAGTGACCAGAAAAAGAACGTGGTCACAGCTACAGAAGACCGGACCAGATAAAAACTCAGTTAAAATAAAAGCTTCCCCYTCAATAATTAAATAAAATGAAATATTGTTTGATTGCTTTCCTTGGTTAGCTCTCTCTGGGCTTTGTCKTGGCTTGGAAATTATTATTACCGACAATCTTTTTAAACTCACTGTACTTGAGTTTGAGTTGAGACAGCGTGAGGAGTTTATCAGCTGAACAACGGGAAAGAGAAAAAGGTTTCTCATTAAACTCAGCTGTACAGAGTTTAGGTCTCGAACATTAATCTGCGATGGTTTCAGCGTCTGAGTTCAGTTCAATCCCAAAAACACCACGTGATGATGATGATGAGGGTTTGCAGCTTTTCTCCAGTTTAGTTTCACATTCCAGTCCTGCTGTCCTCCGAGTGTGAAAGGAGGAGACGTGGTGACGACTGATGTCCACTGTGAGTTCTTGATGATGCACCGCCCCTCCAGGCTGGGAAATGAATGCAGGAGTTTGTCAGCGTCTGTCCAGAGGTCAGAAAGCGTACAGGTCTGTGATGTTCAGAGGGGATGGCTCAGTGTTTGTGTCTCTCAGTGCTTTTCAGGGTCAAACTCTGGAAGCTTCTTCATCACAGCCATATGATCCACACCAACACTGGCCAGCAGGCCTCCTCTGTTGAGTGGAGCTCCACTGTAGTCGATGTCCTCTCCCTTCAGAGTGGTCATCTGTCCTCCTACAGACCGAAGCACCACAGAGAACAGACACTCAATGCTACAGTTTCAATTATAAATATATTTACACATATTTCTTATAAACTGTGTCGCAGTAAATCAGTTAATCATGATAAATTAAAATAAGGTCAAATTCAATTGATCTGCATCGGTCTCGACTGAAGTGTAGGAGGGTGCATGGTCATCTTACCTCTGCAGCCTGAGACCCCTGTGAAGACTAACAAGCTAAAGAAATACTAGTTAAGATTTGCCAAAACAAAAATGGAGTTGGTTTGAAAGCTGTGACAGCTGCAGTGTGGGAGCAGCTCAAGCAAATACAACAAAGCTTTTTATTTTTTGGTTTTGGTCGTTTTATTTATAATAGATATTTAAAATGTCTTCCAGTTTYAGTGTTAAATGTTCTTCAGAAAATAAAGTTTATTGATCTTTGACTGTTAATATTAAAGTGCATGTGATGTGCATATTCTTCAAATACAAGAAGTCAAAGAAAACATCTTTATATTTAAAAAAGTTGSAACAATACACACAATTTAACACATTTTGTCCCATAAATGTTGTATTTTCTTTTTGAACTTGGCTCAACCAAAGTGAAACAGGAAGTGACATCAAAGGGGAACTCTTTAAAGAAAACTCTCTGACCTTTGTTTATTGAAAGAATAAATAACAATATTATTTGAACTCTGACTCTTCTTCATCTCTCTGATAGAGACTCAAAATAATCTAAAGAAACATCAGATTCTTCTCTACAGTCTGGGTTGTTGGCTGTTGTAGCAACGCTCTGTTCACATTCAGACATTCCCCTTTGACATCACTTCCTGTTACTTCACAGTCAAATATCTCACAACTGTTCATCTCAGCGACATGAAATTTATTTTGCAATATTTTATCAGTGACCTCTTTCTAAAAATGCATTTATTTGTATAACAAAAATCTGACATCACAAACGCTTTAAATCATCTCCAAATAACGTTATCATTTATCGCGATAATTTCTGAGACAATTTATCRTCCATCAAAAATCTGTTACCGTGGCAGGACTAATCCAAACTAATTTTATTATCTTTTTTTGTCTGTTAATGAATGAAGTTTTCTACAGTAAGACTTGTCCCACTTCAGACATTTCGGGGTTTTGTTGTTTTTTTTTCTTTGTTTTGTTTTGATCTATGGATCACTTGGGTTGTTACCGACATCTGGTGAAAATTTCATGTCATTAGCACCTCTAGTAATATATTTACTGAGAAAAATGGTGACGTGTTACTTATTTTACCCGCTGTATATGCAGTTTTAATGTGATTAAAAGCTTAAAGAGCTTAATACACTGAATTGTAACCCAGTAAGCCAACTCTGACTTCCTTAAAAGGTTACTAGGAATAATAATTTAACATGAAATAAAAACAGAACAGATGTGTCATTTTTAAATTACCTAATGCTTTCAGCAGCGCTGCACCGGCACAGATGTCCCATTTCTTGATATAAGTGATGTGGACATAAAGATCTGCTTGATCCATAGAATTAGCTTCATTTGCAGGCATCTCCAACAGAGACAGAACCTTGTATCCTGTCAGACAAAATACAGATTTACTTAAAACTTCTTTCATTAAAAAGAACTCTTAGCACAAACTTCTCCTACTTAAAGATGCAGCAGTCCTGGCAGAAAGCTGCAGAAAACACAGCACCTGAGTTTGTTTTTAACATACTGAAAATAAAAATAAACCTGTACAACAGTTTCTACTCACCAGCTCCTCCAGCTACGATAATGGATGTGTTTCCAAAAGCCTTCTGGGTAAATTGTTTCACTTCTCCAGAGTGGGAGCGAGACACGATCACTCTAGGCGGGGAGATACTGTAGGAGGATCTGGCCTGTAAATTTGATCCCTGACCTACAAACCCCCAGGCTTGGAGGGGAAACGAGAGGAAAGAAGTTCATTACTAGATATTTTAGCTCAACCTAAATTTTATATTTAACCTAAAATCACCTTTAATAGAGGCTCTAAAGCTGATATTTGGCACAAGGATAAACAGGATATTAACTTGAATTAAAGTTCATCTTTTACAGAGTAAAATTATATTAAAAATCATAAAAAACAGACTTCTTATAAATTATATATGTAGTCAATAATAAACAAAGATGATGAATTCAGGAGTGGAGTCATTTAAAATGTAAGTTAATAATCTTACCAGTGAACCCAGTGAAGGGCTGATGGATGACCCCAACAACCGGTTTACCGTCTACAGCTACACACACCATGGTGGTCACATATTTTACCAAGTTTTCTGTAGAGAGACGGAGCAGAGTTCAGGATAACGGAGGGAAGAGGAAAATAAAATAACAGCAGACATCAAGAAAAACTAAATAAAGAGCTGTGTCAGAATGCAGGGCTGTACGTTAGCCTTTTTAGCTCATAGCACCGGTGCTACAGAGGTCGCTGATTTTGTAGCACATAACAAAAATTTGTAGCACCAGCATAAAATGCCTGTTCTAATATCTAAAACCAAAAGCCAGAATGGTGAATAATATGGTGAGTATTGTTGTAGGACAGGAGTCACCAACCTTTTTGAGACTGAGAGCTACGTCAGGGGGAGTAACATAAAGAGCCACTTGTTTGATAAAAAACAGATTTATACAGCTCACATTCAATTATAAGAAATTTACATATATGTGAATATTTAATTACTATGTTACATCTTAATGTTAATGACTCTTCATGATAGTCATCGATAATAATTTACTATGATKAAGTTAATATTACTGTAAGTGATCAGCAGATTTATCTTAGTCCAAAGTTCTCAGTTTAAATCTCTTTTGAAGAACACAAAATCACTAAATGGATGAACAGCACATAATGTGTTCATTTTCCCCCTGACAGTTCAGAAATCATCAACAGAGACCCTCTCTCATCGCGCTCACATGTGACTTCAGAGAACAGGATGGAATTAAACGAGGTGTGGAAAAATAAACCTCAGCTGTTCTGAGTCAAGCTACTAAAGTCAGCAACAGGAGCTGCAGAATAACTCTTGACCCTTTGTTATGCTGCAGATCAAAATAT